CGGCCAATCTGCAGCGCTCCCGGGACCAGCGCTCACCGTGCACAGTGCGCCTGGGGCCAGCTGCGGCACCATGCATGCGCCACGTGCCCGGGGCCAGGCCAGCCCCGAGTACTTGGCGGGCGCACCGTGTTGGGGACCACTGCTCTAACTTAATCTTATCTTTGTTTCTTATGTAGTCAAAGGCATGCTCTTTAGCTGAAGAACAACAACACAAATTACAGAGCCATCTATAATGTAAAGTTTGCAATGTTTACTTTAAAATCACTGGTCTTACAAAAGCTCTTCCTATGGTATAGCATAAGTATGGCACATAACATAGTGATTAGATTGAATGATGAGTGAATCATAAACATGCAGTTGTTGCAGTGGTATGGCAAAGATTTCATCATGTTTTAGATATCAAGAATCTTTATAAAATAAAACTTAACATGGAAAAAAAAGAAATTAGGGAAAGCTATGAAATAACAGTTTATTCCCTTTCTCCAAAATGTTAACTAATTATTGACTATAAATAGGGGTATTAATTAGGGATGCAAAGGGTTAACTGGTTACCCAGTAAGCATTTGCCTTACAAGCATGCTTACCGGGGTAACCAGTTAACCGGCACCTTTTTTTAAAAAAGCTAAATGCCTTTTTTTAATATGTTTTACCCAGCTAAATGCCTTTTTTTAATATGTTTTTCTGTAATTTTATTTCTCTTGCAGCAAATGTGGAATCAAGAAAAGGACCACCTGAAAAAGTTTAATGAGTTAATGGTCACATTTAGAGTTCGACCTACTATTTTATTGCCTTTCTGGAATGTTGCAGGGTTTGCTTTAGGTGAGTGCATGGTCTTATTAATATTATTAATGTGGGTTTGGAATATGTTGTTTGAATTAATTTGATAATTATAGGTGCTGGAACTGCTTTACTTGGAAAAGAAGGTGCAATGGCTTGCACTGTGGCAGTGGAAGAGAGCATATCAGCGCATTATAACAATCAGATGAGAACACTAATGGAGGAGGATCCAGAAAAATACAAAGAATTATTGCAGGTATGTGAATGTTGTTAAAAGGTATTTAACATATTATCTGAATAGGATTTTGAGAGAGTATTTTTAAAATGACATAAATATGACATTTGGATTTGAAGCAGATTAATTTATCGTTTCTAGTTCAGAACACTACAGGCAGTGAAACATTTAAGATGAAAAATGTTGTTTCAGTTGGATTTTCTCTTTGATGTATATTAAATTGAAATATCTGAGACAACAGCCCTGGAGTCCATTTCTAGTAGTTGTAATCTGTTTTGTGTTGGGGGCAGAAGAAGCAGCCGAAGATTGTAATTTAATGGGAGGCACTAAAGAAAAGAAAAGAAACAAATTGTAATAACGTACCGTGTGTGCGTGCTGTGGTTATAACAGTATCATTGCAACTTGAGATATCTTACAGACTTTGGGAGAAGCTGATCTCTCACCTTCACTTAGACTCAGACACCAGTCTGATAGTCCCCAGACTGTAATTTGAAGTAGTCCAAACTGTGTTGCTGATTAGCATCTTCATGGCTGAGTAAGAACTGAGCTGTGAGCACAATGGTATCATGTACCACTAAAAATACCAGACAAAACTACACTGAATACAAGAGCAATAGAGAGCGAGTATCAGGACCTGAAATTGTGCAGCAAAATAACTGTTGTTCCAACTTTGATGTCTGAAGACCCTGAGCAAAAGTGTATTTTTCTTTTGATTATACAAATATAAAAAGAGACTATGCAAAGCCCTACATGAGGAACATTTATCACGTATCATAGCAGAATCTTGTACCATTAATTCACATGTTTTGATTAAAGGAATTTGGTGTTTAATAATTTCTACAGTCTGTAATTCACAAAGAAAATTATCTTCTATTTTATACTCAGCTCATAGGTTGAGTCCTAGTTCTTTCTGTTCTGTTCAAGTTGTTCCATAGTGAAGGATATTATAGATCCACTGGAGCTTCTTGGATGTGCAGATGGATGCCCTCATGGAACAATTTGCAGGATTGGGGTCCTACTTTGTAAATGTAATAATATCGGAATGGCTGTTGTTAATTAGACTTAGCATTATATAAGTTTCCTTTACAAAATTTGAAAAAGAAATTGTGATTTGCTAATTACCACCTCAGTTTTCTAGAGAGGTTTTTCAGAATGCCATAGTAACCCCAGATTCAGGAAGTCCTCCAAATATGAGTGGAAAATGTTCCAGCCTGGTTTATTGGCTAAGGCCAAGAGTATTATTGTTGTAGTATCTGATAACTCTCCCTTGGGGTCTTAACCCCCTACTGTTTGCAGTGGCATGGCATCTGTGATCTGTCTCGTGTCATTACTGTGATCCTGGTTATAATCAACATATTCATGATAGGGTTATAGCATTCATGAATATTGCCTGTCCCTGTGAGGCTCAGGAAGAGAATACACGTATAATTTTCTATATCGGGCCAAGAACATAGCATGAGCTTCTTTTATTTCATACGTTCTTTCCTCATATATTATGGGTTTTTCTAATTGGAATTGTGGGGAAGGGGAGGAGAAGGATTTTTCAAAAGCACACATCTTCCTAGAGGTCTTGACCTTAGGTATATTGTTTCTCAAGTGATGATGTGAGCAGAAGTATGTAGTTTGTACAGTTTTGTCATCTTGATGATTGATATGTAGGTAAAAACTGTTACTAATCTGCTACCATTTCTTTTAAAAAGATAATAAAGAAATTCCGGGATGATGAGTTGGAGCACCACGATATAGGGCTTGACCACGATGCAGAATTGGTAGGCACAGAGTATTAATTCATTGTTGTTGAACTTTGCTATGCATTTGCTTCTGATGGTGTCTCCTTTGTGCAAATGAAAGTATAGGAGATGGGTGGAAAATAAAGAATTATTATACTGTTATGCTTTCTTGGAAAGCACATATAAGATAACATGGAAAGCATCTTCATCAGAATCTGAAATGAGGCTTAATTTTTTTCACGTTGACATTTCCTGTTTTTTTCCAGTAACTGAGGAGCATCCTGTTATGCTAATATTAGTTCTTTTTTCCTATTTAAAGTATTGCACTCAACTCTCCTTTTGGTTTTTTTTTCAAATAATTTTTTCAAAATTTGAGTTTTCTTAAAAGATCAGAAAAATAAGCCTTTTGTTAGAGTAAACTATCCCTTTCAGTCTTGGGAATCCAGATAGCACCCTGATATACCAAACAGAGTTTACCATATTGATTTAGGATGGAAGTGGGAAGCTTTTTTTCGGTCAGAGGCCACTGACCCACAGAAAAATCAGTCGGGGGCTACACACAAGCGAAAAACAAAACCAAACCCAACCCTTGCTACTCACCTGCTTCCAATGTTCCCAAGGTGGGTAGTGAATCCTCTACTCCCAAACAAAAAAATCCCACCCCTCATTCATACTTAGCACGTGCCAAGGCTCCCTCAAGGCAGAGCAAACTGGAGCTTGTGGTCCAGCAGTGGGGGTGGGGGGGGGGGGGGGGGGGGGGGGTGCCAAGGCTCTAGGCTTCCAGCTTGCATCACAGAGAGTTGCCTGGATGCATCACATTAAACTGGGGCTGGATATGGCCCACAGACCATAGGTTCCTCACCCCTGATTTAGAATAGAACTGGACCAATTTTCCCCATGTTGTACTTGCTTTGTGAGGTCTGTGTGTCCCTCTACTGTTTTTCCACCTCTGTGTGAGGAACTGCAAGACTTCTGTCATGTGGAGGGAAGGAACGTACTTTTTTTACATACAATATATTTTAGTGCAGGGTAATGCTCTTTTAAAAAAAGGGCATTTTGTCATTTTCTGGGAAAGCAATATTGTTCCTCTGATGTGGATGAAAATAAATATTTAAAAAATGTAACGTACATTTATTATCACAAATCAATTTTTTTTAAATTATGACTTCATCCAATGCCTAATTATTATCTTTTTTTTTAATAGGCACCAGCTTACTCACTTTTGAAGACTGCTATACAAATTGGATGTAAAGCTGCAATATTTTTATCAGAGCGAATTTAGAACTCTATTTTTCAATAAGATAAAAGATTATGGTATTAACTTAAGACTTAACTAGTCCACTTGTGAAATTATGTGAAACTAAGATATTTTATACAGTAACTGACTTTTTTTTCTTGTTCTTTTTATAAAGGATCTGATTCTGCCAGTATTACTTGTTCAAAAAGTGTTTTCCTCAAAATGAGTGGGGCTATATGTGGAGTATCATACTTACAATGTGAGTATGGATGGTAGAATTGGTCCTTATTGACTAATTCTAAAGTGAAATTAAAAGTCTGGTTTTTAACCAAAAAAATCTGCTGGTTTTGCAAATATTCACAAGGTGACAGTAAAGCATGTATCTATGTAATGGTACATACATTTAGTATTAGCCCTCTGTACTTGTATAGACTTTTATAAATGAGCTAATCCTTAAGTTTAATTTAAAACAACATATTTACCACAGTTTTATTTTCAGGGGAAATAAATCAAATTCTGTTAAGAATGTTTCCCTCAAATATGTCTCAAATAAAGATCTGTTATTACAGGGCTCTGTTTCATTGATATAACTTTCAACTTTGTATTCTTCTTGAACCTAATTCTGAAATTATGTAGTGAAAAAAATCCCTTTGTCCTGTACGTGTACAGAAAAGGTAGGCCCTATATGTTTGACTTAAAGCAGGAAGTAGATACTAGCTGCAATTAGCAACTGTGTTTCTTTTCACAAGGATTAGCTCTTTCTGTCCTCTCTTTTCTGGGCCTTCTATGGCATTGATTGGTTAGGGAGGTGCCAGCTTTCACTGTGCAAGGAAGTAGGTTTCCTTAAATCTCTTACAAGCACCCTGGCATTAGAGCAACTAGACTCAATTCTGACTGCGTCTTTCACAAGAAGTACATATTGTCATTGCCTGGTGATGACAAAGAAGTATGGACTGCACTGAGAAGTATCGACTGGCTCTAACTCATTTGTAAAAAATAATTCCTTGCTAGACCTTAGCATTTAAAGCTTCCGCAAAAGGATGATTTCCCCACTCCCTTTTTTTTTCCTTAAATTTGGTCAAAAAACTAGGTCTTCAAATAGAAACTTTTGTACACTCTCTTCACTAGTCACAACAACTCAAAAAGATCACCAAAACCATCTAACTTCACAGGCAGTGGGATAAATTCTGTTCTCAGTTACATTAGTATAAATCTAGATAAAATCCACTGACTTCCAATGAGTTGAAGTGGACACCTGTGAAGTCATTTACACTGTTTAAACAAAGTATAATTTGGTTCCACTCAACCCGTGTACTTTAACCCCTCTAAATCACTGAGTTGATGGGAAGTGGGAGTACAGGGAAGTGTAAACTGTTCCAAGTTACTTGTGGTGGAACCCCAGGAAGCTGAGAAAAGCACAGCTGTGACTTACATTAGTATTGAGCTAATGGTGTTCTCTGCCCTGGTTACTGCATTGATTTGATGTAAATGTGTGCCTAGAATAGAAGGTAGATCTTCTGGTCCCATTTTCTATCCGCTGGCCCATCTTCTTTTTTACTTGGTGTGCTAATCTTTTCAGTAGGAAGAGGATTTTTTTTTACCACTTGCTCATTGGCAGTCTTGTTGGATCAGTAAAGCAGCATGGGGCAATAGGTATTCTTGACATGTTCCATATTATACCTTCAGAGGGGTAGCTGTGCTAGTCTGTAACTTTAAAAACTGCAAGTTGACCTGTGCTACTTTAGAGACTAACCAAAATATATAGAATCTTCAATGTTCATGAGTATAATTCACTTCAGATGAATTGGAGTGGAAATAACAGAAACCATTGTATAACTATAACAGCAGAAGTACCTGTCAATTGAAGAACTTGTTAATAAAAATAATTAAGTGGGCTGGATGTGTCCCATACATAGCTTTTGATGTGGAAATGCAGATGTTAAAGTCAGGAGAAATACCCTGTACATGCCACATGCATTCATTAACCTATTTTTCTTAAGACTCTTAGCTAAAGGCTTACTTTTGCTTGGAAATTTACTGAATAGCAATTGTGAAATCATTATTTTGGTGTAAGATCCTGTTTAAACACTTTTATTCTGGAATAAGAGGGATTTTATTTCTGATTTCACTTAATCCAATATAATCCTTTTTCCAGCCTGATCAGCTCTAAACCTATTATTATTTAAGAGGCCTGTGAAGTCACAAAGCAGAACACTTGTGGATTTTTGAACATATGAAATGTGTGGGCATTATTCACCGTAAACCCTGTAGGCTAATAGTTTAATTTTGGGAAGGCTAAACCAGATTTCCCAGCAGTTCATGGAAATTTTTTGATTTAACAGAAAGTGACTTTTCCATTGGAAAATCATTCTAACAGAAGATTCCCAGCCAGCAGTAGAGATTGCCTTTTCAGGTGTTAGATGATCATTATAAGTAAGTCCATGAAATAGTAATATTCCTCAATCTGATGTATGTATATTGAGAGTGGTTAAGTCTGCCTTTTGTCATAGATCAGGGGTGTCCAAACTTTTTTCAAAAAGGGCCAGATTTGATGAAGTGAACATGCGTGAGGGCCGACCATTTTGCCTGACATTCTTTGAACCATTAAAATTAAATGCAAATTAACTATTTTATGCAAAGTTTATTGCAAACAGCATACTTTTCATTTCGTCACATATCTAAACAGGTGTTAAATCACTCTGCCTTTCATATCTGAAGGCCAGATGAAAAAAAATCCAGGAAGCTGAAATATATGTCAGGAACATTGTAAAGTACATTACATATTATTGGTAATAAAGGTTGTCTGTCAACTTTTAAGTTCAAAAAATATGAACAGGAACATAACACCAAGTATACATGTTGTGTCCAAATATATTTATAACTGATTTAGACCAACTGACTTTAACTGAGATTTTACAATGTATTCATCTCAATACATATGGATTCATTGGGGGCCATAAAAGATAGATATTGCCAAATTACCCGTGGGGCCGTATTAAACCAGAACACGGGCCGCAATTGGCCAGCGGGCCGGACTTTGGACATGCCTGTCATAGATAGTTTTAACAGGTATTTTGGCGTGAAGGAGTTAAATTATTATGGGCTCTTCTTAATACTCTAACAAACTGCAACATTCTTTACTTGTAGGCATGTATCACTTTTATAGATACAGAGTTCTTTGTTACTTGTCAAACCTTCAAAGACTCTTGCAAATGTAATCTCCAATTTGATCCTTACAGCTGAAAGCCTGTTTGGTGTAAAGGATGGGTGATAACCTCAGTCAATAGAGACTGGCTGCTGAGATTTTTGCATTTTTTATGGCTGCCATATGGTAGTTCTACTCAGAGGTAGGCAGGCATACACTGAGTTTGGTGGTTTATTTTATTAATAGAGATTATAATTTCTTTTTGGAATGCTGATTATAGATGGAAGTGTTGGTTAGGAAATTTCAGTTCTTCAAAACCCTATATTTTTAGTGATGTAAGGTTGTTCTTGGAAGTGATTCACTGTACATCACAACCTGGATAATTCCTACACAGATGCAGGGTTACCAGCTACCCAATTATTTTATTGGGGCATTAGTCCTGCTTTGATGGCTCACTCTGTAAGGGCTGATAAAATAATATGAACCACCAAGCAGCTTTGAGGGAGAATGTTGGTCAACAGACCACTCTATTGACAGCATGGTAGGATTTCATAATTGTCTTTTGTTCTCAACTA